ACTCTGAAACTGCTTATCAGCCCAAGCACTTGTGCAAATAAAAAACATTCAACAGAAGATACAAAACTACGCGATGCCATCAAACTGTATTTTTTGGTCTTTTTTTCCAGTTGTGTTGCCCAAGATATATATTTTGATGAGCCTAATATTATTGCTACACTTTTCATAAATAGTTGTACATGAAACTCAACAGGCTACTGCTAGTCGAGGGAGTATTGCCAGCAGATACCCTGTGTTTAGCTAAGGCTTAAGCTTAAGGTTTTCAAAGACATTCAGAGCAAATGAAGTCACTTGACATATTTTCTGAAATGAGCTCATATCGCAGTTGAATATAATATATTTCATAAGTAAAATTGCTGAGATAAATGAGAACACATAGACTCTGACTCTATATATATATATATATATATTTATACATATGTATGTCATTCAAACTGGCAGCTGTCAACTCACCCACCACCCCCATTCTCGCGCTGTCTCTGTGTGGCAAGAAAGTAGCAATGATTAAGTGTGTTTAACAAAACTTGCAGCAGCATGCAAATCAGAGGCAGGAAATTAATATTACAACTTTTTAACAGCGTTGTCAAATGTTCGATGCATTTTTTCTCTGTTTTTCTGTTTTTTTTTCTTTTTTTTTTTGCTTTCTGCATTTTCAACGGCTGTGTTTTGTTTTTGGACATGTATGTTCGAGTTTGGATTTTCAATTTTTAGTTTTAGTTTTCGTTTTGGTTTGCTTTTCAATTCATTAGCATTACATGGCTTCCGTATTTGGCACCGCCGGCCATAGGCCCCCATAGCGCGTTGGCCAACAGGCCGGCCTACAATATGGGTCAGAGTCGCACCATAAATGGGCTTCAGGCTGGCCAGGCAGTCAAAGCATTTTACAGCTATACTCAACTCAACTTGGCCTGAACCCCCAAACGACGAGGAGAAATATTTTGCTAAATCAGCCATCATTTTGGGATCGGGTAACAAAAACACAAACACAAACACACAAAAAACATTCGCTGGGAAGCGATGCGAGTTCGACATTGCCTCAAGTTGATTTTCTTTTTGCGGTTTCTCGAATTGCTCACCCCTTACCCCTTTCCCCGCCCCTCCCCCCAATACCACCCGCTTCCATGAGTCGCGCCTTACGCAATCAGCTGCCTCTTAGAATGGGCACCAAGTCAATTGATTTGTTTTTGCTTATCAATAGATAGAGAGCAGCGCTCGTAACATCTCCAGCCTAGGTCTATGATGGATGAGGAAGCGCGATTGATCTAAGAGTAGAGTATTTCTCATTGGCATTGGCGGTTTGTCTTTGGTTACACACACACATACACACACACACACACACACACACACACCAAACAGATACCTATCAAAATGGCAAAGTGTGCATAATGCAGCTAAATGCGCATTAAAATGCTTGTCTCAGCTGAGCGATTTATGTGTGGATAGATCCCATAATTTAAGTGGTTTTCATAAGATAAAACGTAAGTTAGTCCATTGAATACCTTATTAGGAGTTGGCTAACTATATCAATAGCTGTGTACTCTGCTTATTCTCCATATTTATTCAATTTAAAACACTTTGCTTATTGAATTATGTTGCTTTCGAATTCATCTACAACGTCTTCTGGCTGCCTTAGCTTGTTTTATTTAATTAACAGACACATTTATCCGTTACAAAATTCTTGAAACTTTGGCAACATGTTCAAGTTTTTTGCGCTTAAAAAATATGTAAAAGTTGATGTTCTTAACTACAACTATCATTTTGGGTTTAATACTCTTTTTAATGGGTTTTTTATGTTAATTTTGCTGTTCACAAATTATATATATATATATATATATATATATATATATCTATAATACATTTAGCATTTAGTTACAAATTGCAAAAGTTGCTGCTGGGGCGCTACAGCTGAACTGCACTTTATGCACATAGATACACATATATTATTATACATAATTAGTAAATGCAGTTTAAGCCAACTTCCTAGTGGCTAACAGACATTTCTGAGGGCGTGTTAACGTTGTGCCACGCACTTGACACTTTGTTATCCAATTAATTGCATTTGTTGCATTCACATTTTCAACTGTGAGCATTATAAAAATATGCTCGTAATTAGCCAAAACTGCCTCACCTTCGACGGCGATCAGCGTGCAATCAGCGACCAGCGACCAGCAACCTGTTAGCCTGGCTAACTGCCTAACTGCCTAGCTGCCTAACTGCCTAACTGACTGAGTGACTGAGTGACTGGTTGACGGACTGGTTGACTGCCTGCTGGCAGTCTCGAGTGCATGTCGCCCACTTGAGGCGAAGAGGAGTACTGCATTATAGGTGTTTGCAGTATGGAGTATGCAGTATGCTTTTGGCCTAGTAACTCATCGTTTTAACTGGTTCTCGTTACGAGTTTGGGTGTTAATTTCAATGCTTGGCCAATTGCATAACATGATTTTAGATGTCTGTGTATGTGTATTGTGTGTATGTATATTTTTCAACAAAAATTTGATGACTTAACTGCAGTGTCTATCAGCTTGGATGCTTGTCTGATGAAGCGCTGCTGCGACTGTGGCTGCTGCACATGTTAACGGCATTTGCAAATGCCCCGTTGGCTGGCCACACGCACACGTTTGTTGCCTAAGTCATTCGTTTCATGACGTCAACTACCGCAATTTGTGCTAGAATTTAACACCCGTAATATAACCCCGTCCTCCTGCCTACGCTGGCTGCTTTCTCTCTCCTGCCTGCACATTTTGCATGTGAATTTCGATTGCATAAACGCATCCGTTACGAATACTGGTTGCTCCCCTCTCTCATCAAGTCTTCAACCACTCTTCCAACCCCAACCACAACCACATCTGCATCTTTCTCCGAATAACTGGTTCAACTGCCCCAAACCGACAAGTGGCCACTTAATGCTCATGTGACGTCAGCTCGGGCGGGTTCTAGACAGTTGCCAATAACTGGCATTGACCCACCGGCGATGATTATCAGATATTCAAGTATTTAAGCATTTTTCACAGATTCATTTGCGTTCTTAACTTGATCGTTAAGTTATTTCCAATTAGATTCGTTGTGTTTTATACACTTGCAGTTACAATCAACGATTATCTCAATTCATGCAAATCATGCATTATTTGTTATCGATTAGCAATTGAGTGGAAAACTGTAAGAACAGTTGATAAGCTAAGATTCGATACTGTTCCTGGATATCGTGAGGCCAAGTTTCTCATTAACTAACCTATTCAGTTGTCAATAAAGGAATAACATTAGATAGTTCATTCACTCACAGCTTACACTATGATCGATAAATTTATCGATTGTGCCATTTAGTTACTATCAAACTGTACTTAAAAACAAAACAACAACAATAAGACAAGACTTTTACACACATTTACTTAGTTTCAAAAGCGAATTCTTGATACGTGGATATGGATGTGTGGATGTGCCCGATAACTTATCGAGCATGCGCATTGGTCAATTGGGCAACTCTCACCCCACATTAACACACCATGAAAATTATTTATTAATTATTGTTGCATACAAATAGCAATACAAACAGTAAACAACAACATCGGCTACTAACTCTGGCTGCATAAAATTGTTAGCCACTTCTTTTGGACGTCGTTTATTATGCGGTGCGCAGCATTTCGTCAGTCATTCAATTGAGGCTCATTGAAGCAGCCACTTGTGCTCAACCACACACAACACACAACACACACACACACACACACATGCATATTCATCGTGTAGACCAAACACTTCATTTACAGCGCATTTCACTTTCATTTTGTGCGTTTTTTGTTGCTGTTGCTGTTGTTGTTGTTGTTGTTGTTGTTGGGCAGCGGCAATCAAAATTCGACGAGTGCTCGAATTTGAGCGATTGGAAAACTAAGCGCAAAAATTTCATTTTCAATTTATTGATGAGCTGACAGTCAGCACTGAATGCAAATGACAAATGAGCCGACTCATTTTCCCCCAATTGTCTCTCTATCGCTCTACGTCTCGCCTTTCCCCTCCCCTCCCGTTCCCCCTCCGCTGAATAGAAATCAGTTGAGTCAAACAAGAAGAATGTGAAACTAATGAAGACGCTGGAAACTCCACAAACAATCGGCAATCCATGGGAACTAAAGAACTCTCCGAGTGTCTAGCTAATTATATTTGCAACTAGTTGCAAATTTATTAGAGAAAATACGAAAAGAAAAACAGGACACGAAAAGTTTTGCGAATATGAAAACTACCATATTCAACGCTGAGATAAAAATGTATGGAACTAAGCACAAGCTGATTTAATTAAAGAGGCTGAAGATTCAATTGCCGCTTCATGAACTCCAAATATATTTAGAAGAGTTCAATTACAAATGTAATAGAATCAACAATAAAGTAGAAAATATCTAGGAGATGAAAAGATCGAATAATTCTCAGACCTTATACACACTATTATATGGCGAAGAAGAAATTGTGAAATTAAGAAATCTCTGAAAACAGAATACTAATAAGAACACTTGGGAACAAACTTTTGAATCTGAGCAGCTTTTGGAATATTTTACAACTGCAAACCAGCTAAAGTTCATATGAAATAAAATGTGCACATTAGCTATCTGGGACATAAGCAAAAATATCTATGGGAGGATATGAGAATCTATAGCGGGAGCATTTTAAAATAACTTTAAAATACACATATCAGATATAAAGTTAGACTCGAAAAGTAAATCAAACTTTATTTACTATAAAACAAGTTAGTTTTAAAAAGAACAAGCTGAAATCTTCAACAGATTTCGAATCATATTTAGCCAAAGAGTAAAGTCAACTTTCCAACTTCTCCAAACTATAAGTAAAGTCAAATTTAAACATGTTTCCAATGCTTGAATTCGAACTATTCTTGATTTATGTTCACTCTTGCAAGTGAATTGGATTAGTTAAGAGACCTTCGCATAGTAAAGGCAAAACTACTTTAAATTTTACCGGCTCATTTGGTAAATTTAGTATTGAATTGTTAACGTTTCACTCACCGTATTAATCTTCTCCATGAAGACACTCATTTGATTTTTCGCTGACATTCTCACAATTTGCTTCTACAACACTAATTAATAAATTTTTTATTTATTTACTTTTTGGTAGGCGCGACACCTGACAGTCAGAACTGTCACATGACACAACAATAACAAAAAAAAAAAACAATTTACAGTTTATCAGCCATAAGTGCACAAGTGGAATGCTCCTAAAAACATTCAAGCAATTGTATTTCTCACTGAATTCGAATAAAAAAAAATTGGTATTTATAAAAAATAAATAATTTATCGGAGCACAAAGTGCAAACAAAACGAAATTGAACACGCGCGCGGCGATTATTTTGCGATTTTCTGTACAATACTTGTACGACTCGACTCTGTTCGGGTCGGACTCTCTCGCATGCGTTCTTATCGACGGCTGGCAACGCATTGAAAGCTCAAGACGTGCCCGCCGCAGCGCCAAGCTGTGGTTTGGTCAAGCCAGCGACGACGACGACGACGACAACAACAACGACGACGATGCGAGCCGAAGAAGTTAGCACGAAAGACAAAGTTGCAGCGACAGGTGCTCAGCTGGCTCAATGTGGGCGAGCAAGCGAGCCAACCAACTAACAGCGAAAGAGAAAGAGAGAGAGAGAGAGAGCGCAACTGAGAGAGCCTCTCTGGCTGGTATGAGAGCGCGCCAGCCGGCACTGTATATGCACAGCGAGACTAATTCAAGAGACACCAGTGTAGGTGTAGGTGTCTCTTGGCAAAAAAATACAAGCACTAAAAATAAACTACTCAAACTGAAGAATCTGTGACTGCAAAATTAAAACTGTTGTGAGAGAGTTGCAGCTAAGGTCAAGTCGGAATATATTTGGTCTTAGGGCGTTTTTTTCTTCTAACTTTCAGTTATATTATTTACTTAAAATTCTTTGGGTTTTTTTCATGTGTTCTTCAAGGTTGCGAGTAACTGTTTAACTACATAGCACATTCATTCAAATGTAATCTCCAGAAGTATTTTTTAAATTGTTGTATTTATCTTTGGCTTGATGGTTATTCATTTAATTGAGTTGCATTTCTGATGACAACTGACTGACAACTGAGACGGAGACCAACTGAGAATGTAATAAGTCATAAGTAATTAATTATTCTTCTTGCGTTGCTATTCATTAATTGTACACAATTGTTAGGCAGCTGTGTTGCTTCATCTTAAATCCTAATAGAGCTTTAACCTGTATTTCGTTAAAAGTTGCGTTTAATTTTCACAACTCTTTTTCATAACTGAATTGGGTACGATTTGAGTTGCGTTTGCATGTTTGTCTGTGACTTATTATTGACTCTGCATTATACATTTTGTTGATTGTATTGTGTTTTTTGAGAATTAAGAGCTTTGCGCCGCATGACTAAACAAACACAACGAGTCAAATAACTTAATTAGCTTTGCAGGTCCTCAGACAACACAACGGGCAAAAAGCATACATAAATAAATAAAAATAAATAAAAAATAATAGTAATAATATTGCGGGCCAGCCAATTGCCGGGGCAAAGCCAATGAAGTCAAAGTCAAAAACCATTTAAGGTCGCTGCCGAATGCGACGATAACCAAAAAGAAGGCCCAAACGACGCAAACGGCCCAAACAGCCGCCGCTCGATGACAATTGCTCAAATATATTTACGAGTGTCATGCAAGAGCCAAAAGGCACCAACATTATTGAAAACATAATCCCAACTAATTCCACGACTATGAAATACCCTCATATTGCCATTTCCTGTATGCCAGCTAAATGATAGAGGGATCTAAACTCAAGTAAACATTTGTTCCAACTCTATCAGAGAATCCAGAAACCAAACCGGAACAGAAACCGAAATTCAAAATTCCATGATGGAATCGTGGATAAGGAATCGAGCCGGAACAGAAATTAGCCGATTGTAACTTGAATTTCGATATTCTCTGATTCCTTGGCAGGCAAGGAAATCGAAACCGAAACGTTTAACTCAGAAACCGTTAACCGATTGAAACTTAGCCGTTATTTCAAATTGATCATTCGATATTGAGTTAATGCTAGACCGATCGATATACATCAATGGTGAGAGTTATATAGAATACCTATATATGACTCATAAATTCACATTAGATCACAAAATTCGAATACTCTTTGCTAGTGTATGTAGATAATAAGCATCAATATATATCTCTATATCTATACATATATATATATATATATTAACAAGACAGAAGCAGAGAGAGATAGTACGTAAAAAGTATTACAAAAAAAAATAATAAAAAAGAAAACAAATCATGGAATGTGGTTACTTTATGTAACGGTCCTTGTTTAAATCGTTGTCAATGTCTCTGTCGCTTGATCTGCGCCCAATTCCAATTCCTACTCAGGTACAATTAACGGTTTGCACTGTGTTTTTTGTAATGTTTTTATATTTTGGCAATTCATCAGCGCATTACAGGTTTTCGTATTTTCGAATTTTCGTATTGTTTTTTGTTTTTTTTTTTTTGGGACACAAACTAAAGACTTAGGCAACAAACTTGCGCCTATTGAGCTATTGAGCTTTGGTTGCACTTACCTCTTAGCACAGTACATTAAATGTAGTCATTAGCTAGGCATTGTCTAATCTTTGGCTGTAAATATATATGGTAAACAAATAAAAGTCAAGTTAACATTGTTTGGCATATAATTAAATTAATGCATAGAGTCAGTCGTAAAAGGCATTTGCAACACACGTCATAATTAGTGTTTTTACTTTTGGTTTTTAACATCGAATTGCGCATACTCATCGGAAACAGTGGAAAGTCATCAAGATCTCAATCGAAATATTGCCTTATTACTTGTTGGCTGATCAACGCAAGTTTCCATTAGACGCTGCCGCGCGAATTGCCCAAGAAAACGTGAAAAACTTTCGAGCTTGCACACAGAACCGTTAGCCCTACCCTAAAAACCACCATATTAATATATGGATGCGGTCTAGTCGCAAGAGCCGCACTAAAGGGTACCCTGTAAGTAGGTACTTTTCAAATATATTTTAAGTTGGGCTGCCTAAATATGTGATTTACATTGAAAACTGCAACCCGAAAAGAAATTCAACATTTTTTTTAAGAACCAGTCACAGGAACCGAATAACCAAACAAAAAAACAACTTACGATATCCTTTACACTTTACATAATGGAATCGAACGGAAATATGATTCGGTTTGAAACCCTGTTATGTAAATGTGTATTAAAGTTAATATATTTTAAGAAACTTAAACTCAATGAAAATGATTTGGAAAATTTTTGCAACCGCAACGCATATAGAACTTTTTGAAGTGACTTCTGGAGTTAATCTTGAAATATTCAACTGTGGCATACCCTGCTTTAGCTGCTTTACGATTACAAGGCATACATACATATAAAAAAGGGCTCACCAAAAATATAAAAACAACATATTTTCTGGTTCATTTGCTGCAGCCAAACACTTTCGTTAACCCCTCTAACGGCGGCCTAAAAACAAAAAACAAGGCGGTTCTGGCTAATCAAATTTACTGTTATTGTTGTGGTTATTGTTGCAGTTGTGGCTGTTGCTATTGATGTTGTTGTTATTGTTAGTGTTGTTGGCGCTCCTCGCCATTGGCGCCGCCGGCAGCATTCAAAAATTGTTATCGCTAATCAGAGAGTGAAGCACTCATCTCATTTGAGTGCCTTGTGAAATTTGATTTATACATCTCAGGCTGCCTGCCTGCCAACTTTAACTACAATTTCAACTCTCAAATCCGATACCGATTTCGATTTCGATGGTGATTCCATTACCAGATGCTGAGACGACTACAAACAACTTTAGCCTGAGAGATTCCACTTGGCACTTTGTGCATGCGCCTTGCTGAAAGTGAAATTTGTCAACAATTTCGGCAGTTTATGTTTTTTCTTCTGTTTTTCTGTTGTTGTTGTTGTTTTGTTTGCATTTCAATTTGGCGCTGTTATTAAATGCGTTTTCAATTTCACTAGAAAGCCCCAAAGTGTCGCCCCCAAACAGCCTTTTGATATTCTTGCTGAAGAAATTGAAGCGAAATGAAGAAATAAACACAACATTTTCGCTCGCAACACGCGTCGCATAAGCAACAACAAATATATAATATACAAATTTACAGCTTTATTTTAATCTCACTACGCACACACACACACACACACGCATACACTTAAGCACACACACACACACGCCATGCATTACAAGTGGTCCCCAAAGCCGGCAGTTTGGTGACAAGTTTGACAGGCGATGAGTCTTACTGTGTTCACAGCTAAAGCGATTGACCGACTGACTGACTGACTGACTGACTGACTGACTGACTGAGTGGCTGATTGATTGATTGATTCATTGACTGATTGAATTGATAGAACATGGCTTAAGTGGCACTAGAGTCTGTTGGCAACAAGCATTCATTTCAAACTCACACTTTCAAGTAAACAAGTTGGCCTTCGAGTTCAAAATTATCATCATTTTAGTTCAGTAAATTATGAAAAATGTTTGTCGAATGCCAAAGGTTCATTAATATGAATTAAAAACAAAACAAAAACTATATCATTTTCTTCATTTTTGCTGTAGTATCAATAGTAAGTCCAAAGCAATTAATACTTTTAAAAATTTGGATCAGTTTGGCTTGAGCACTTTAGCCAAATGTTGGCGATAAATGTAACGGTATAGATATATATAACAAACCATTTTTAATATGATTGAAAAGAATGAATATCTATGAATGATGTAGTATTAACGATAACAACTTTACTCGATAAATGTTGCATAAATTTTAATAAATTGAAGATTGTCTTTAATGTTGTTGGTAAAAGAATCGACAACAAAGATCTTCAACGAATGTGTTATCTGGCTGTTATCGATAAATTGCTATCGATTTGCTATAATACCCCCCCAAAGCAAATTTCACTCAAGAATTACTCATTCATTTATGCTCGCACCTCCCACACATCGCATCCGTCATTCCCCTTTCCGGCTTGGACCGTTTCGCCAAAATAAAAATCAAAATACAAAAAAACATAAGCAACAAAATAACAATCACAATAACAGTAACAACAACAGCGAGAAGAAGAGAGAAAAATAGGTGTAGACTGGCTAACTGGATATTAACATATGTCGCATGCCTTAATTAACAATTCTGCTCAGCTAATATCGGTTTCACCCACCAAAAACAGCAACAACGAAAGCTCCTTTTACCTTGGCCCCATCCCCGTCCCCGTCCCCGCACCAGCACCTGCACCCGCATAGGCGGGGTGGCGGATAGCGGATGGCGGTTGGCGGATGGCGGACTCTTGTTTGGATGGCGGTATTTCAAATTTGTTGAAGAAAGTAACGTAAGTCTGTCTCTGCATACACCACACACACACACACACACACACACACAGGCTGGGTATCTCATATATGAAAGTTGTGCTAGCGGGCGGGTTGAATGACTCAGGCGCGGGCAGCAGTCAGCAGTCAGCAGTCAGTGAGGAGCTCACTTGGTGACCAGAAATCAAATTAAAATAAAATTCGCTTTTAAGCGCACAACCCAAACAAAATGATAATGATAAAATAAAAACAAAACATAAGTGGACAATAAATTGGGAGGCGTCATACTCAACACACACACGCATACCGACTACACCCCAGTCCCCCAACCCACACCCCCCCTCCCTTCCATCCTACAATAAAGCATGACTAGCCCCTGATTGTCCAGTTTGTTAGTGTGCTTTTGTCAAAGTTCAAAGTAAAAGTTATCTAGCCTGATGCATGGCATTGGGCGTGGCATGTGGGCGTGGCCCATGCATTTGCCATTGACTTAAAATATATATATATATATAAAATATATATATATGTATATAAATGCGATTTAAGATATGGAACATGATTGCGACGCTGGTCATCGCCACAAAATTTATGCGCCACTGACTTTTTAATTTGCAATTAAAGTTGCGCACAATTTGTTGTACTTTTATTGTTGTTGTTGTTGTTTGTTGTTGCTTGTGTATACCCTGCAGTCATAAAAGAAGTGTGCAAATACAGATTCACCAGTGCAGAGTTTAGCACCATGACCAAAATCCTCGATATTGAATGGCGTTAAGCTAAGATATATTTAATTGTTGGCTCTTACGTATATATAAACATATAGTATATATATATATATATATATCCTAAACATTAAGTTTATTCAAGTTTAGTTGAAAATGTAGTAAAGAAATTGAATCGCAAACACGAAAACTATGCACTGTTAAAAGGGCATCACGCAGTCGGACAATGGTAGTAAGCATTATATAATAAATGTTACCTGTTTGGTTAAGTTATAGTTATAGTTATAGTCACTAATGATCTGTACACTCGCCAACTGCATGCGGTCAAAGTTCTGCAAGGCGCTAGGGGAAAGCGTTAAAGATTGGTATTAATTGTGGCGCAGGGGATGGGGAAGAGTTAGGGCGTTATTAAAAGAAATCAACACAACTTATCGTAAATGCATCGTTAATTTGCTTGGACAACGCATTAGATGCCACACACACATACACACACTCACACACACACACATATTATATTTGTGCATTTTTGCATATTTGTCATCCTATTAAAAGAGCTTTACTCATCACAGTTGGAGGCCCAGCTTCGAAACCGAAAGCGAACTCGAACTCGAGCTCGGAGTTTACATTATGCAAATGCAAGTGGCAAGTGATAAGGTTGAATAATGTGCCGCAGAATAAGAGTTGAAGACTCGAAAGGTCATGCCACATTCCGCATTCACTGCGAAAAGTTTGCGCAATTTCAGCTTGCTTATTTTTTCTTCCGTTTTTTTTTCAAGAGATTCGCACGAATTTTGGGATGCGATTCATGCTTAGCCGCTAGGCCCAAAAGAAAAAAAATATATATATACATATATTAATATACATATATATGCCAAAGTCAAGCGTGCACTTCACATACCCTGTACCCCTGAAATGGTAATAGGGTGGCTTAAGGCTTAAGAAAACTTCTGTAAGTAAATAGGCGATGGTTCGATAAATGATATTTGTTTGGGTTTTATTGTGGCACTTTCAAATCTAATTGTCAATAGAATTTGGACTATATTTGGGTTCAGAGCGGAACCGGAAGCGCTTCACCAATTGACATTCACAACCGGAATTAGAACCGCATTTCGACATTTTTTAAAAACCAATTACGGTAGTCGATATTATTATTCCATTTAATGCCAAAAAAATGCAACTGAATGCATGGAAAAAACTTTAACCAATTCATTACCTTTACCGGAACTGGAACTGAAATTCTATGCGGTTTGACAATCTCATTTTCATTGATTCCTGGCTTTACATTTCATTAATTTCTATTTATTTATTTTGTTTTATATAAAGCCAAGTTATAGCCGAAAACTTGAATACAGCTTGAATGGAAAACGGTTTGTTCTTTTTTTGGCTGATTTATTTTAACTATTTTTGTAATACCTTTTAGAGTATAGTTATACTACAGGGTATCTTTGGTTTTGTCATTCTTTATCATCTTGTTATTAAGTACGCGACAAAAGTATTTCGTATAGTTTTAATATTTTCTTTCTTATTTTTTGTTGTTACTTGTAATTTATAATTGCTTGTGTTGAAAAAGCTGTGGCAGGCAAATCATTACAGATTTAGGGAGAGTCCAAGAAAGAATGGTCTACATCGAAGTTGAGGATTCCCTAAAAAGACATATTAATTATATTTCTCAACTTTATTACAAATTATTTTTTGGTTTAACTTGTTATACTGCCAACTTTTGAAGTAATTTTTGAAGCAAATTGAGCATGACTCAGATGGAGCAACAAATGTACTCTCTTTTAGCAAGAGCATTTGTTAAGTTGCGGCTTTTGCGGCTTTTTTTTATGTGTGTACGTATTGCATTGAAAAACGTGAGTGCGTTAAATGTGTGCAACAAACAACAACAAAAGCCAAAAAGTGTTGTGCTTACAGTTATTGTTTTGGGGAAAAACCAGAAGAAGCCGAGGAAGAAGAAGAAAAGCCAAGATAAATTTATATAAATATAGCAATACATGGGTAGAAAGATAAAAAGCTGTAGGGGAAGTGCCGGGGTGCAGTAACTGTGGAAAAACTCTTGCAACACTTGCCGCTTCTCTCTGTGCTTCTCACGCCGCATAAATCAGTCAGCCACATCGTTAGCCAAACGACACGCCCCCTCCTTTCTCGATGGGTTGGCTTACAAATTAAAAAAATAAAATAAAATCTATTACTTAATTTCGCTAAAAAGAAAAATCGACTCAAACACACACACACACACACACAAATCGAACGAGCAAGCGAAGCTTTGGTTTCTTTCTTCGATAAGTTTTATGTAATCCCCCAAAAACACCATCATCATTTTATTGTTTCTATAGCCAAATTAGAAGCTCACAACAAAAAGAGCTGCTCACGGAGAGGGATGGCGAGATATACAATATATTACTATATATGGAGACAGATAGAGAGAGAGAGAGAGAGAGAGAGAGAGAAGAAACTACAACAAAAAAATTAGTTGAAAAATCAAACGCTTTCGATTTCTATTTGAATATGTAAACGAACTCAAAGACCGGCAGCAGCCCGAGAAAAAGAAATGAAAAGAAAGAAAGAAAGAAATTCCCATAAATTAATTGCCTTTCTTCTTCTTATTATTATTATACCCTGAACCCATTAAAAATTGGTAAAAAAAAAAAGGGTATATTGGTTATGTGCAGATGTATGTAACTGGCAGAAGGAAGCATCTCCGGCCCCACAAAGTATATATATATTCTTGATTGGGATCAACAGCCGCGTCGATATAGCCATGTCCTTCTGTCCGTCCGGATCTCAGAGACTACAAATTTGGAACATAGGTTCTCGTATACCCGGCGCAGATCAACTTTGCTTTATTTTATCGAATATCGTTGTTCGAATATCAATTCAACGTCAATCAGTTGCCGATCGCAATAAATGCCACAATTTTAAAGGCAGAAGCTTCTAATTAATACATAATATTCATAAGCATATTATGGATCATCAAGAAAGCATAAGAAAGACCCAAGATATAGTTGAAAATATATATATATATAATATAAATTGGGTTTACACCTTTTTAAAGGAAATTTTTCAATAAAACTAGATTATATTTAACAACTGCGTTCAGGGTACATCGTAGTCGAGCTCACTCGACTACAGCACTCTTACTTGTTTTTTATACGACCGCCTGCCTTATGCTTCTTCCTGATCGCCACTCAATAACATCATCAAAAACGTAAAAACTAAATTTGGAGCCAGTTTTTTTTTTTCTAATTTTGTGTTTTGCCTCAAAATTTGTGTGCATCAAAATTTTGCAAAGCAAGAAAGAGATGCAAACAGAATGGAAGAAAGCAAGAAACCAACAAAAAAAAGGGGGGGAAAAACAAACAAAAAAGCGACTTAAAGTGAAATAAAAATTTGAATGAAAATAAAATCAAATTGGCCATAAATTATGTTCAAAGGCGTTGGGCCGTTTGCCATTTGTGGTATTTTGTTGTTTGTTTATCTCTTTTCATCTTTTTTGAATTCCCAGGTTTAAGATTTTAGAAAAATGTTATGTTTTAAAATGTTAAATGTTTTCCAAATTTGGCCACTAATGTGATGCCTCTCGCTTATTGCCATTGTTGTTATGCGAACGTTGGCGTGTGTTTTGACAAACATTTAAAGAGCGTAACAATTAAATTGTTATAAAATTTCAATTTATTTAGTTTATTTAATGGCAGCGAATCTGATCTTGATTTCGATCGATAAAACGCACTCATGATAAACTCGAATCTAGATCATCTTGAATCTCTTCTTAAGAGTTGAAGACAAGTTTTAATAACGCAAAGCAGACGATAGACAGCATCACTTGTTAGCTATGAAACTGCTTCAAGTTTTATGGATAGAAAAATTAGAAATTGATTTTACAGCATAAATTAACAATGCAAATTATTTTCAAATCAAAATTATTTTATTCATAATTTCAAACACACACACAACACACGACTGCAACTTCGATGAATCGAAGACAAACAGAGCCGACAACGGAGCTGGGCAGAGACTCCAGGACTCCGACAAGCCACATGTCTTTTGGGTGGCTACATTCACAAACGATTTAAGCAAGTAATAAGACTAAGAAGTCAACTAGCTAAACTATTTATAGTAGCGAACTATGCAGGCCTTGTGAAAGCGAGTATGTGTCGCCTTAACTAGAAGAAGATGCAACATCCTAGAAATGCATGCAGTGAGATCCAAAGATATGGAAGGCCTCAACCAAACAAACTTCTACTCTTCCTCGCTGAACCCGTAGAATCTGGCAATTAATTTCAAATTTGTTATCAAGAATGATCGAAGCGTTTTCTCTTGCCCCAAAAAGAGGCGGCCATAATTGCGGCTCAGGCGTGTGTAAAATGAGTGCAAGCCCAGTTTTAGGCCCCGTTCAGATGTCTATTCTTTGTTCTTGCCCCCGTCCGTTGTCAGTGATCTATCATTTTCTACGTGAGCTGAGCCAGCACTTTCGGTTTTCCCAGAGATTCGCCCCGATTGTGGTTCCCATAGTCCCAAAAATTCTGCTTTCTAAGCGCAACACACACTTCAGCAGAACTGCACATCCATTTGGTGGCAACTTCTGCTGCTTCTGCTTCTGCTTCTGCTTCTGCTTCTGCTGACAGGTGGCCATAAATCAAATTGCTGCAGTTGCAGATCTTAAATCTGTATCTGTCACATTCCCTGGCCATGTGTCAAGAGCGCTCTTAACACCTTTTTCTGTATACCCTCACGTTATGGATACTTCACACGTTGTGATCGAATATAAAATATAATAAATAAAACACAGCATTTCGATTCCGTTTCCAATTTCGGTATGTAAAATGAAAGGATTTTGTTAAAGGTATTAAATTCTATATTGGCATTCAGCACCTAAAATCGGTTTCTTACAAATTTTACATTGCGATTCCGATTTGGAATTCAATCAACCGATAAATTTGCGTTTCCGGTTCGGGTTCGAGTTCGGGTTTGATACCCTGATATGGACTAATTAAATCAGTTCCTGTAACTGCATCTTAGACAGAAAAAAAGAGTAAAGTTGCAGTTAAGATTTTCAATCGGTTTTCAATTCGTTCTTCTGCATTTGATGGACTTTTTGTGTAGAGTATACAAACTGTAGTAGTTATTTCATTTGCTGTTCATTTTTAATGTATTTATTTTGGGCAGCAGTTGTTGCTGCTGCTGCTGCTGCTGCTTTCACCGTTTGCTTATCGATGTAACTGCAAGTGTCAACAACAATGAGTAAAAACAACAACAACAGCAACAATAAGAAGAAGCAACAATTGGCTGGTGGCGACTCACGTAGACGCAACGCCCGCCGCGCCCAGCCTTGACCTAGAGCATTACTGCTTTGGCTTTGGATTTAGGTTTACGGTTTTGGTATTGGGTTTGTCGTCTATGTCTGGGTCTTGCTCTCTCGCTCTCCCTCCCTCCGTCTCTCCATCTCTCCATCTCTCTCTCGCTCGCTCACTCACTCACTCTCTCCTTCTTTCTTTCTACAGAGACATATGTGTCTGCTCACGTCTCGGGAAAACGTGCATTAGACGCATTTGATGGAAAGCCCCTGCAACTGTACACATGTTTGCCAGGTACTTGAAGAGCGGCACTGAGCTTTCTTTAGGCCAGGCCCAAAACCAAAAGCACTTGGCCAGTGGGCCACACACACACACACACACACACACATTGAAGAAGCGTGGCCACTGCAAATATGCAAGTTGAGAAATGATTTTGCTGTTGGGGTGGGGGGGTTTTGGGCAGGCAGTCATTAGTTGCAAAGGAAAAACTGCAATTTTTCTGTACGCAAAACTGGTAAAAAAAAAAAATAAAGACAAAATGATGAAACCAGAAAAATGCGTCGCTTTGGCAATTGGCCAACATAAGTGAGTTGCCAGCTGCTGTGCCACAAAAGCGATGACAAACAAATTTGTACAAAAATGCTGTTAATTAAGCAGACTACACAATCTGAGAGACCCCTCCCCCCCTAAGACCTTTCCGCTTAAAGCCAATAGATTCCATACAGCACCCACGATCCTTAAATTGCGACGGCGAGACGCCTCCGCCAAATGCTGCCGCTTAATTACAATCAATGGGCAACAAGAAACCAATCAAAAACAAACAAAATACCAACAAAATGTTTGCATTAAATATTTATAAACTATTTAAATGCGTTGGCGTCTCTTTGTCGCTGTGTCTCTTTGGAATACCCAAAAAACAGAAACTATGATAATAATTTATCTCTCCCAAAAGACGAAAAAACAACAACCAACAGAATTGTTTGCAATTCGTAGCTGCAGCTAAGTTGAGGTCAAGTGCTCGACTACCCAGATACTCTGCAAGTTTCAGAGACCAGTAAATAGTTGAAAGTCGGTAAATAACTCACGCTGAGTAACAATGAAATTGTTGATTGAAGAACGCTGAAAGCATATTCTGTATGAAGTGCTCGACTAACCGATACCCTGTAAAAAGATTTAACAATAGTTCTGTCAACTTACGAAAGCTAATCGAAATGTTTATAAAATTGGGTGCAACTATAGCTCAACTAAAAGATACCCATTACCCCAAATGCAAATGTTTGAATAACCAGTTACTGGAGCCGATATCATTAGATCATCTTGTAAAATATCATTAGATCATCTTGTAAAATAACGCAACAAACCGAAAAAAGTCTAACACTAACCAAAAAGGAACCGAAACGAAATACGATTTGAGATATTCCACATAAAGTGCTCAACTATCAGCCAACAATAAAGTGCAGTTGATGCCAACTTTAGCCAGCTTAAAGCTAAAGTACTTTATTCTAAATATATAGTATATATATATATACATAGCGTATTCAAAGTTGATGTTGCCCCTGAAGGGGAGCAATAGTTTTCTTAACTTTCTGCTCTGCAAATAATGAAAATTGGCGATCAGAGAGGCAAGTGTTGCATACTTCGTGGCTGCTTTGTTAAATTGTTGTGCAACTGAATGAGTTGCATACTCTTTGGGGCGTTGGCAATTTGAGCTCCGCTCGTGCGACAAGCCGAGACGCTTCATCAGTTTCACAAACACACACACACAACACACATCGCTTTAATATTTATGCGCCTGCGAAGCGTTAATAAATAACAAAAAGGGGCAGCACACAGCAAATAGATATTTTGCAAAAAAATGGGGTTGAAAAAGCGTCAGACAACAAGCGAGGGATACTCGCCAAGATATATGCTGGTGTGAGACGGTAGGAGTTGGGGTGCGGGGCTAGAGGATGAGTGTGTGAATATGGGTGTTACAGAAGCCTCGAAGACATAAAAATTACAGCAGCAGCAGCGCACAACAACCAACACTTGACAAACAGACTAACAATATGTGTGTGTGTGTGTGTGTGTGTGTGTGTGTGTGTGTGTGTAAAGCATAAGCTAAAATCAAAATAACCACAAGCATTAATATGCGCCAGCAGACACAGTCAAACTCCAAGCCAAACTAAGCCAGCAAAGGGTGCAGCGAGTACAGTAGGTTCAGGAATAGATTGCCCAGAATCGAGTATGACTGTACAGCAAATACCCCGTACTATATGCATATGGTACATGGATGTATACAGTTCCGCTTCACATATTGATTGAGAGATATAGATAAAGGATGAATTTGGCCTAACATCATTTGAAATGCAACTGTTCGTAAATAAATAAATAATTTGAGTTTTAATGTTTCTTAAAACATTTCTTGAAAATGTCGGATTTGCTTTTAGTGCACATTAAATTAATGAATTAATTAATAACATAGTGAACAAAAATTCAAACCAGAAAATACTCCTTTTATGTTTAAGTAATTTAGTAAGGCAATTTTCTGTGACTTCAGCTGACTGTAAAAATGTGGATATATTAAACACTTCACACCTCTTTAAACCGATGAAAGTTTTCTAAAATGTGAATCATTTTTATCATCTCTTTTTTATACTTTAAATATGTGTTTAGTTGGCTTCAAGTCATCGGACATATCATACAGATAAAGCAAGCTTATACATAGAAAGGTATATGCCATTTTCAGATATTGGTACAGGGTATAAACAGAACAATGCATTAGGTTTGCATAAAGTGGATAGGGAAAGGTAGGGAGGGGAGTCCTGCACCCCTTTTAAGACACTTTCAGACCCTGTAAGTGCTCGCCAAGGTACGTTGGCATTGTCAAGACCAACCCAGCCACCTTTCTTCTGTCGCCGTCTCCCCGCTACCCACTCACCACCCCCAAAAACCTCCCCCGCGCGTGCATTGCACTTTCACAGACTTCTTGCCAAGACTGGCTATTAACTTACCTTAAAGTTGCTGCTTCAGCGTTTTTTTGTTTAACATTAACTTTGGCACCGCACAACGGGGGAAACTACAACGAGAAGAATTGAAAAATAAGAGAAATTAAATAAATCGTTTTAGCCAGTTTTGTCACAAACGAATAAAACCCTGTTTAAACAAAGAAAGTAAAATATAATCATAGATAAAAATTCAGAGCATTGCAGTCCATAAGTAATGCCAGGCAGCAAAGAACAGGTTGGGTGTAGCCAAGAAATACCGTCCACGTTTGCCTTTCAAATTGTGTCCCATTACTTTGGCATATGCCAATCTTAGAAGGACATCGCCAACAACCTACCAACCAAATTTGGTGACTGTAGCCTTCAAATTGTAGAAGATATATGTGGCTTTATCGATTTGCAATTATCGATTTTATCGATTTCCTAGCCTGCAAGTCGCAATCTCTACGGTATCAAACAAAGTATGAAAAGAAATACAGAATGAGCGAAGGACTGGTTGTAGTTCATTATGGATTGAGCTATTTTGTTGAATTTGGTAAAGTGAATTCCTCCTTTGTGCATATCAAATGCAATATGGGATAGTGGATGCGATGGGGGTAAACAAATGACTATCAATTATTGTTGAATTGTTATAGTTGAAACTTTATCGATAAATGTGCACGTAAAAAAGATTCTTTTCTATTGAAAAATGTGAGTGCAAAAAGAGAACTGAGCCGAATCAAGGTGGGCAATTCACTTTTATCGAGAGGGAATTACTATATATATATATATGTGTATGTAAGTAGCATATGTGTAGAACTCTGTTCCCTTATCAAACTCTATTTGCGAAAGCTGCTTGTGGGCTGCTTTGTGTTTAGCATATCGGAATTATGAATCGACAAGTTTGACATTTAAACAGCTGTTTGGGCACTGACAACACACACTCAGTGTGAGAATCACAGTCTGTTATGTGTGTTAAGTGTCGAAACGGGTGTGGTTTAAGAATGTTTAGGAAATCACACACAAGGTCAACACAACACAACACAACACAACACAACACAACACGACGCCAAACAGCGATAACAAATGACAACAAATAGCAACAAAAGCGATGACGATGACGATGACGTTGATTGAGAGTTACAACTTTTCACTGGGCGCCCAAACATAACCCCAAAACTCTAATGGGAACTACTAACTATAATTAGGCAAATGCATGCGTCAAGCAGTGGGAAAGGCGAGGAAGTTGCGAGCAAGCAAATAAAATTAAGTTTGGCAGCCGAGAAGCATGCAACGCTTTCCTTTGCTCAATGAGCAACTGTCACGCAACATGCGAAGACAACGCACTCCAAATGTGAACGTTGAGGGGGCTGGTGCGGTGGGCAGGATGATGCGCTAATTTAATGGAATGCATAGGAAATGTTTTGGGGCACATTCATAACAAATGCGGACCTTGAAAGCCAAACTAAGCAGTACAAAACAAAGCAAAACGCACAAAATATCTAAAGCAGCAGCCAACACTCTTGCCACACTCCCCCCGCCTCCCCCCTCCCCATTCCTACAACGCGCAGCTTGTATTTGATTTTGGTCAGTGGCCAGTTACCAGTTGAAAGCGCAAGCCGTTAACAACAATGTGGCAACAGATATTTATTAGAAATTGAAGTGCGCGAAATGAAAGGTCTTTCAAGTTGAGAGTTGCATACCCTGTAAACGAGCCGAGTATGCAAGCGGCATACCACAATTGAAATCCATACAAAAAGAGTGATTAATATTGTCATAATTATGAGCATACTTATTGACATATTATCGATACACATAAATATTGATCAATCAACTCAGCAACACAGCAGATTTATAAGGTATCTCTTAGTCTGTCACTCGCTCTCGGCCAGCCCAATCTCACTTACTGTATTTGTATTGTGAACATTTCGTTATTATTTCTTTTGTTGCCTAGCGAAAGTGACACTTGACAATAATTTTATTGAGAAGTTGAATCGTTGTCGTTGTTGATATTTTTGGATATTGTCATCGAATGGCAATTTAATTGATTTTCAATTTTGATCGGCAATTAAGCTCTATGTTGTTGTGGTTTTGGGTTGTCCAAATATTTGCATGGCGCAGCCATTGACCCGAAACGGTGCCCGCATCTCAACAGCTGCAACTGCAACACTCTAACTGAGACCTTGTCCCTTAATTGCCTAAATCAACTACTCGTTGCTACACTTTAGAAAAGGCAAAAAAAAAAAAAGAATATACTTGCTGCAGCAGCTGCCGTTGCCGTTGCAACTCGGGGGTGGCTCTGGCTCAAAGGTCATTGCATTGCTGCAGGCTGCCGAGGCAGACACCATCAAGAGGCACGTCAGCAGGCCTCTCTGATAAGGTTCCAGTTGGCGTCAGTGGCATCCTCAAACACGCCCAGCAGCAGCAACGGCAGCAGCATCCAGTGTCAATGACAGCTACCCCTTTATGAAGCCAGCTCACTGCTGTGTTCTAACTCTCTCTCCTCCTATATGAATATGTCAACTGCCCAGCTCCCTTCATTAGTGCAGCTTTAACGCCATGCAAACACACACGGACACACACACACACACACACACACACACACACACACACACACACACACACAACACACAACACACATCTACCTTTTCTCCCCTTGGGCATTTGCTATTTTATAAGCAAAAAAAAAAAAAGATTTAAACATTTGCTTGCGATAAGATTGTAAGCGACTGTTGTTCCTGTTGTTGTTGTTGTTGTTGTTCCTGTTGCTGTTGTTGCTCCTGTCGCTGCTGCGTGATCTGGCGCTGCCTTTTGGCCAACAACGCAAATAAATATTTGTGCAGCGTACGTTGCTTTTGTTCGTGTGCAAACAGATAAGGGCCAAAAGAGTTGAATAACACTTGGAGGCATATATGCAAATAGTGCAGCGTAAAAAACAAAACGAAAAACACACTCAATCACACACATACACATACACACACACACACACATTTTGCTGTGCTATCGATTTATCGATATGCCATGTTATCGTCGTTAAATCGATTCAGCTGCGTTGATGACTATGTCAAATACATTCTTCCGTTCGCTCTAGTTTGACAGTCGGAATTCAACTTTATATTGGTCATTGATTGATTTAAAGGACTGTTGTCTAATAAACATATTATCGATATTAATGGATATTAATATACTCGTATATGCAGCAAATATTGACTAATAATGTGTTGGAAAGAAACTGAAAGAGCTAAGAAACAAAAAGAGCAAACGCGTTCAGGTAATATTTACAGCGATTGTTATCGAATGTAAAATAGTATTTAACTTAGCGACTTTACTATCGATGACACTTATCGATAATTAAGCCCAGATAACAACAAGAAGAGTGCATCAAATGTGTAGCAGCTCGATAAACAAATTTGAGACACAACTCGAACTCAAAGTGAACTAATTGCAACATTGCAGGCCATTGAACACGTCTAGACGCTAACCAAAGGGCCATTGGGAACAGCCAAACGTGTGTGTGTGTGTGTATGTGTGTGTAAGTTGCCCCACGGCTCGTGGCCATGTCAAACAACAATCAATTCAAGTGCAACAGCAGCAGCAGCAGCAACAACAACAATGCTCAGGTTTATTGCGAATGGCGCTGAGGAATTTGAATGTCGCTGCTGCTGCTGCTGTTGTTGTTGTTATTGTTTGCATGGCAATTGGCGCACAGCCTTTCAACGACTCGACACGAGATCAAGATCGCATTTCTCAGATATAGACGGATCGAACTGAATCTGCAGATCGAACAGTTCCACCAAAGTTGCCCTCCCACTTGACGGCAATTGCTAAAAGGCATGCAAAGACACACTCATCTGAGTGCGTATGTGTGTGTGCGTGTGTGTGCGTGTGTGCGTGTGTGTGTGTGCGTGTGTGTGCGTGTGTGCGTGTGTGTGCTTGTCTATTTTTAGCCAGCCAGCTGGACGAGTCCCTGCTCTTAGCCCTTACTCCCTCGCTGCCACACAATTGTCGCTTTGCTAATAGATCGCTGCAATAATGTAATGGAGGCAGCAGCCCGCTGGCTGCCTCAATGCCACACGTTGCACAGCGAAACGACTTCGGATACGTATTTGGCATCCGATTCGGATTCGAGTTCGAGTTCGAGTTGGAGTTCGAGTTCGGGTTTCCCCTTGCGGCACATATGGCGCAGATCAGGGCCATGACTTGGTTTTATATTTAGTTCGCTTCCTGTTTCTGCCACTTGAGCAGAAGAAACGTGAAAGAAGTTCTCAAGATTTTGTTTCTCATCTCTTTTTTTTTTTTTGTTGCCAATGTTTGAATACCCTTGCCGAGAAATGGTATGCAAACGATCCAATCTTGATGAAACCCTAATAGATTATCAATGTTATGTTAGGGCCACAAACCGGATTAGAAATAAATATAATTAAAAGTGTTACTTTCATCGCCATCGGTAATCGATTTTTATCGATATGCTCGAGACGGGCTAAGATATCAATTAGGTGTGTGTATTCGGAATATATGTATATATACTTTATGGGATCGAAGCTGGCATCCTTCTGCCAGTTTAGCATCATTATACTCATTTCCAATGGCTACAGGGTATACAACATGTCTGTCACAACTTATCTGAAGAGTTCGTAGAGTATGAAATGATTACAAAAACTGAAAGACAAACAAACAGTGATGAATCTTATGGCTTATGCGTTACACAAGTCATGGCACCCTCGGTAAGGGTATACAAAGTGGAGATGCTGCCCAGCATTCATTCCACAGCGAAGTCAACTTGAAACTTGTATCGATTGCACTTTAATATTTTTGATTATTTATTTAATTTTTTGTTTTTTTTTTCGACTTTGACTTCGACTTTGAGTTCGAGTTCGAGTTGTAGTTGGAGTTGGACTTAATAGTTTTATACTAGAGGTGGCGGTAGAACCCCTACTCGAATGGAGGGCATTTGTACATTGATTTATGTTGATTTAAATGCGACGAGCACTTTTCAGAATACAAAAAAAATGATAAGCTATAAAAAGCTGTGGTTGCCACATTTCCCTATTTTCTTTAGATATTGAATTGTGTTGCCTCGTTTAAGTTGCTGTTG